GCCCTCCAGCCACATTTGAAGAACAACTCCTTGGCAGCATCGCATTGTTTCACATAGGCTTCATCTGCCTTCTTATAGCCCTGCTTGTAACCCTGCTTTTCGGCTCCCTCCACACTAGTTGGCTTATTTCGGTATCGTTTCTCTTTTCTAGCTTTAGCAGCTCACGCAGATATTTGTCTTTCATAGCAATGGCCGCTTTCTGCCTTTCTGCCTCGGCCGAACTAACCAGATCGGCAAGACGGCCGTTCTCCGCTTGTAGCTCGGCCATTCTCTTTTCGGCTTCTTCTAGCTCGACCGCTTTTGCTTCGGCTTCAGCCATTGCTTGCCTTGTGGTTTTTCGGAGTTCTTGGACTTTCTTGTAAGTGATGTTGTTCTTCTGTAAGGCCTGACAAAACAAAGAATTCTCTTAAGCCGAAGTAAAGGTTGGAAAATTCAAACAAGAAAAAATGGACAGTTACTTACCAAAATCATGGACTTGGATGCAGACCGAATTGACTTCATTTCGGTGTTCAATTGCTTTAAGTGGTGCTCCATGTCCTTGGGGAGGCACACACTTTTGGCCAGATTAAAAGCCAATTGGTGATCTTTTTCAGCCACGACCGAGTCAGTAGCTTTGATGTCTCGGTCGTTGAAGGTCAGCGGCGGAGCCCACTTCGGAGATTCAGCTCGGTCAGTTTGCTCCGGTTGGGGGGAAGGTTGAGGACTTTGGGGGATGGATTCAACCTCATCGACAAGTTGTTGTTCGGTCGATGTAGATCGGGCGCGCTTGGAAGGGCAAGATGAAGAAGGCCGTTGAGAGGGGAGGGCCACAATGGCAGGTTGCGCCTCAATAGTTGGTGGTACTTCGGCTCTGGTTGTTGCGGTCAGAAGGGCCCTAACTCTGCTTTTCTTTGCCATCTCCTCTTCAGCAGTTAATGGGACAAGTCGTATTTCGGGCAAGGTTGGGTCCAGTTCTGGTGCTTCCTCAAGAAGGAAATCGGTTACTCTTGCTTTACGGCGGCCGCTATACCGATAGGTCGGCTCAAAATTTAGAAGCTTAGCCCAACTCCGTTCTTAACACCGTAGTGCGGCGCGCAAAATTGCAAGGTTGGGATAGCTATATAGGGAACGGAGGTGGGCGAAATCTGCAAAAAAGAAGTGTTAGTTCGGTCAATAGACTAAAAACTGAGATAACAAACAAGAAAGAAGACCGAAGTTAAATTACCAGGCTCTCCCTTTTTCCAATTTATAGGTCGGCCAGGAATTTGGGCTTGAAAATCCTCAAAGTTCCCAGAGACCCAGAAGAAATCATCGTCGTTAAGATCTTTGTCCGGTGTGTGTTTAACTATCTTCTCTCGACGGCGGCGAATCCTAAGGTAATAGACCCACCCAGCATCTTTTGAGCCGATGGAGTATTGCTGGAATATTTCGGCCAGACCAAGGTTTAGTCCGGTTTGGTGGTTCAGTGCGGCTATCCCCATTATAATACGGTATGAATTGGTGGACAGTTGGGTGGGGCATAATCTAGTCTGCCTAAGGAATTCGCAGATCAACGGTTGGACAGGAAACCGTAGTCCGGTTTCGATTATGGATTGAAGGGTAAAAGGGACGAAGCCTTCATTTTCCCAAGGAATAACATCTTTTTTGGCCAACGTCAGATGGACGTCATCAGGAATTTGGTAATCTTTCCTAAATTCGGCCATGCCACCAGGGGTCTCAACTAGATACCTATACTTACCCATCTGATGAATAATTTACTTATAATTTATATCGGTGCAAAAATCGTGCTCAGTAGCTCGGTTGAGCGCACGCAGGAGTGCCTGGGTAACCTAAGTCTGCAAAGTAAAAAACAGAGGGAGTTAAAGCACTGATCAATGGACCGTGCTACAATTTAAAAGCAAGGTATAAAAGCCCTACTTCGGCCTCAAAAAACTGGTTCTATCTCGGTTCATCAAAAGGTTTGGTAGCTCGGTTTGAGCAGTTTGCTCGGTAGACCGGTTTAACGCCTAGGGGCAGCTTTCTGAGTTCGGTCTAGGTTGGAACCATGGTTTCATTTGGCTGTTCGATAGGTAGGTCATCCACCATGGGCTCCAACCGAAGTGACGGGTCTGCACTTACAACCGGAATGTCTTCGGGAGCAGAGGAGTCATCAGAGTCTGAGTCCTCCAGAAACTCTTGTTGCAAGGCATCTGCATACTCCGCAAGGGACTTCAGTATAAAGTAAGCTGGAGGGTCGAAGACCTCGGTCTGTTGATCATGACCGAGCTTCTCCACAGCC